CATTTGACAGAAGAGAAAACTGGTGCCCAGACCCTGTTTGCCTCAGTTTCCTCATCTGTCAAATGAGCTGGAGAAGGAAATAGACAACTGCTCCAATATCTTTGCCACGAAAACCCCAAACGGAACCTCAAATAGTTGGATACCTCTACACCTTCTGACTCTGAACCCACTCCGTATGCTGCCTCTGCTAGATGAAGAAAAAGGGCCAAGGAGAAGGAAGAGGAGGAGAGGGAGGAGAAGGAAGGAGAAGACATTCATTAGGTCCACGAGACCTGCAGAAATACTGATCTTCCCACTAAGGGGCTATTTGTCATGGCTTTGCCTAGCTGCCTTCCTCCTTTCCAAAGGCAGGGTCACATGGTCCAGATTGGGATCAATCAGCATATTTATTTAAGACCTATTGTGTGCCAAGTGCTAAGGACACAAAGACAGAAGGGAAATAGTGCCTGCCCTCCGAGGAGGTTATGTTCCATCAGCAGACCCAATACGTACACACACAAGTGTATCCAGAATAAATACAAGGTAATTTGAGGGGAGAGAGTCACTCACCGCTGTGGGGTAGGACAGAGAGGGTCAGGAAAGATGGCACCTGAGTTGAACTTTGAGGCAAACCAGGGATTTTTAAGCGGTAGAGAGAATGAAGGAATGCCTTGCAGTCACAGGGGACAGACTTGCACAAATTCATGTGAATTTGTGAATATTTCTTATGTGAAGGATAGTGGAAAGGTCAGCCTGGCCAAAACCCAGAGCCCACGAAGAGGCATGATGTACGCTAAAGCCGATGACTCACTTGGCTAGGACAGGTAAGAATTGGCTTTGGCTGCAGTGACGTGGGCCCCCTAATTAATCTCCACATTCCCTTTCTCTGGAGTCTGGTCTCAGGAACTCTATGCCTGCAGGGGGTCAGGGGTGAGTTGGGGGAGTATTGAGAATCTCCCAGCTGGGCCTCTTCCTGGCCCTCCGGAACCCCCCTGTGCTCTCTTAGTAGGGATCGCCTTCTTCTGCAGGCTCACTTGGCTCAGGAGGATGTTCTAAGAGCTGGTTCTAGCCCCAGGCCTGGCAATCTCAGGATAAGATGGGGGAGGGCCAAAGTTTTGGGGCCTCCCCTCCCAAGTTCCCTTTTGGTGTCACTTAGCAATGCAATTGAATTCAATTTGGCAAACATTTATTAATCGCTTCTTGTATCTGAAAGCCCTATATAGTCAATCCCAAATGAACTTGCTCTCAAAATAGATCTCAGACTCCTTAAGATCCCCTAATCTCTCCCCACCCATGTAGACCCCCCAACAGTTTACTGGGCTCTCCACTTCCACCATGGAGGGTAAAGAGAAATCCCAAGTTTTCCCATCTGGGTGCTCTCCACCCTTATTCCCATTCTCCAACAAACACCTAAGGATCCCTCTGGTTCATTCCCTCACTCCCCCGCCCTCTTCTTCAGAGCACCCCTACAAGACTCAGTAGCTTCCCCCACCCCCAACACTGGCCCCATTTCCTAATTCTCAACTCTCTTTCCCAGCAACCTCAGTCTGACCCACGGAGAGAAGGGGGACAGAACCAGACTGTCTGCTCCGCTTCCAGAGCAGGGCAGGGGTCTACGGTAGAAAAAAACAGATGTTTCATTGGGCACATCTGGGAACAATCAGCGAGAGAAAACACACACACTCGCATACACACACTCTCTCCTCCCCATCGGCAGACCCCACCTTCTCCTCCCCTCCCCCCACATTCCAACTGCCCCGAGAGAACAAAAGCTGACCGCCCCCCCACATACACACGCGAGTACACACACACACACACACACACGCACACACAAACACAAACACACACACAAATACACAGAGGCAGACCTGCACAGAGATCCTGGCAAAGCCGCAATGTAAAGCACCCAGACCCTAACCCTGGCCTCCAGTCACCCCTTCCACCGCCCCTCACCACCAGGGACCTCCCCTCCAGCCTGTCTCCCGACACCCAGTGAGCCGCTCCCCGCCCCATCTTTCTAGCAGCAGCCCTGACACAGATCCACTCCCCTTCCGTTAGTTTTCACTCCCATCTCCCAAAAAGAAAAAAAAAGTTTTAAAGTGCTTTGACTTCTCATTTAGACTTGGCAGGGAAGGTCACTGTCCAGCCACTGCTTTGCCTTCCGAACTTTCTCCCATATTTGGGACCAGCGACCCTTTTCCCAAACCTTCCCAAGTCTGGGGGTGGGGGACCTCAGAGCTCCAGACGGAAGGTCAGGGTCTGGGGTCCTTCCTGGTCCCTCCCCCAACCACCCGCCTCTCTTCTCCTTCACTGTACCCTCCAGCTAGGATAGGGAGGGGGGAGGTCTCTCCCCTCCTCCCTGCAGGCAGCCCCCCAACCAGCCCAGCCCCAGCCGGCCGGCTCCTCTCCTACCTGTCTGGGTCTCTCTCCTCTGCCCACTCAGCTGCCTGCCAAGAGCCTCCCCCTTCTCCCCAGCCCTGGAACGGGACAAGCCGCCACCTCCAGCCTCACCCTCCGCTGGGTCCTAATGCTAGAGCCAGGCAGACTCTGGCCAGATGTGGAGCGGGGGCGGGGCCTGGACGGGCTGGAGTCCGGTCCTGGGGCCAGTCTGGGGTAGCCCTGGAACGTCCTCAGGGACTCAGGGACGGAGATGCTAGAGGTGGGTAGGGCTGGGAGGACCTGACATCCCTGGAGGAGAAGTACCCAATGCATAGAGATGTCCGAGGACCTCTGTGCCTCCGAGGTATGGTGGAGAAAGCAGAGATTTGGAAGCAGGGGACCTGGGTTCAGGTGCTCGCTCTGCCATTTACTAGCCGTGTGACCTTGGACAAGTCACTTTTCCCCTGCTAGGTTTCAGTTTCTTCCTCTATAAAAGGAGAGGGTTAGGCTGGATCAGGGGTTCTTGACCTTTTTTGTGTCATAATAATATTTAACACTTATAATAATAATGATAAAATAATCATAGCTAGAATGTATCTAGCAATTTCAGTTTCACAAAGCGCTTTACAAATATTATGTCATTTTATCCTTATAACAATCCTAGGAGGTACAGGTGCTAACCCCATTTTACAGATAAGAAAACTGAGACTGAGGGAGGATTTTTCATTATTTTATCGTTTTTAGTGTTTTTAAAAACAGTATTTTATTTTTTCCAAGTTACGTGTAAAGACAATTTTTAACATTCATTCAAAATTTTTTTTTGAGTTCCGAATTTTCTCCCTCCCTCCCTCACCATCTCCCTCCTTAGGGCGGTAAACAATCTGATATAGGTTGTATATGCTCAATCATGTAAAACATATTTCCATATTCGTCATATTGTGAAGGCAGAAACACCAACATTTTAAAAACTACAAAAAAAAATAAAGTGAAAATCATATGCTTCTATCTGCATTCAGACTCCGTCAGGTCTTTCTCTCGATGTGGATAGTATTTTCCACCATGGGTCCTTGCTGAGGGAGGTTTTTAAATCATTGAAAAGAACCCCTAAATTTCAGTTTAAATTTAGAGCTTAATGAAAATAAAGATGAAAATTTTCCCATCCAAATTCACAGACCCCCTGAAATCTATCTACAGATTTTCCCCCAAAGGGTCCAAGGACCTCAGGTTAAGTACCCAAGGACTAAACTGATGGCACATTTCACTTGCTCCCACCTGCGTAGGAAGGTAAAGGCTTCTTCACAACGTTCCGGAGCTCAGACTGTGGTTGTATCTTCTCCGCCTGTGAACCCTCCTCTAGGGACTCAGTGGGGAATTATTACACCCTCTCTAAAGAGTAATAAACCCTGATTGGCTTCTCAGATAATGCCTTAGATCAGCTCCGTCCCCAAGGGCTCAGGAATACAACACTGGATTTAGAGTTCAGAAGGACCTTAGCAGAAAAAGAAGCTGAAGCCCTGAAAGGAAAGGAACTTGACCAATGTCACACGGCTTGTAAGTGTCAGAAGCTGGATTTGAACTCAGGTCTTCCTGACCTTAGGTCCAGCGTTATATCCACACCAGGTGTTCCTTAAACTCAAGTCTCCTTTCCAGGGGATCCCCACGCCCTTTGCCCAGCTCTGAAGAGTTCCCAGTTGGTCAGGGGGAGCAGTATGCTGACAAAAACCTCATCTGGCAAACCGGGTGCGTGGAGAAGGCCACCTTAGGCCAGAGCAGCCACAGACCCATCATCCAGATGTCCTGACCGCTGCCTTCCTTTTCGCTCCAGATCAGTCTCAGAGCCAAGGAAAGTGACAAGAAGGAATAGCCGTGGGCTCTTCTGAGGATGGAAAGAAAAGGGAGCTAGTTTATGTTGGGAGCCAAGTTGAGCCTGAGGCCGAGCCTAGGCCCAGATCCTCAGGGGTTATCAAGCGGCCAGGGGTGGGGGGAATCAGAAAGTGTTTGGATTTTATCCTGAGACTTATTTTGTCCTCCTGCTGTTCTGTCAGCCTTGATCAGGGTTTCCAGCCAAACTCTGGATGAGAAGCCGGGCCTTCACTCCTCTTGGTTAGAGGTGATGGGGCCATCTGGTGGCTACTGTTGAGATGGCCAGTGGGACTGAGAAAACCAATTTTTTGTTTTCTGTTTTTGTTCGTTTTTTCCATTTCCTAATCCCTGGGTATCAAATTGAACCTAAAATCACCCAATTTGAGAGTTAGAAGGGACATCATGGCAAAGAACTGCAAATTGAGGGGATGCCCATCAATTGGGCAATGGCTGGACAACTTGCAGCATATGAATGCAATGGTATGCTATTGTGCTGTAAGAAATGATGAGCAGGCGCATTTTTGAAAAAACCTGGACTTACATGACCTGATGTGGAGTGAAGTGAGCAGAACCAGGAGAACATTGTGCATAGTAACAGCCACATTGTGCAATGACCCACTTTGATAGACTTAGCTCTTCTCAGCAATGCAAGGATCTAAGATAATTCCAAAAGACTTCATGATGGAAAATGCTCTCCATATCCAGAGAAACAACTGATGGAGTTTGAATGCAGATCGAAGCAGACTATTTTTCACTTTTTTTCATGGTTTTTCCCCCCCTTTTGTTCTGCTTCTCCTTTCACAACATGACTAATATGGAAATATGTTTTACATGGTTACACATGTATAACCTATATCAGATTGCTTGCCTTCTTGAGGAGGAGAGGGAGGGAGAAAAATTTGGAACTCAAAAATCTTTCAAAAATGAATGTTGAAATTATCTTTACAAGTAATTGGAAAAATTAAATAAAAAAAAGACACCTCAGGAACCATCTAGTCTGATTCATATCCAAAAGGACCCCCTTAACATCTTTTTTCTCTTACCAGACAACTTCCACTCATTGTTAGGAAGTTTGTCCTGACCCCAAGACTAAATTGGCTTCTTGGTAAACCCCTCTCCCCCGCATCGGCTCTTCGTCTGCCTTCTGGGGCCAAGTAGAATAACCCTTCACATGGCTGAAAACCCTCCAGTCTTCATAATCCCAGGTCCTATGACTCAGTCCCTTCCAGTCTTGTCATTGAGAGAGAGGAGATGGTAGGGGGCATGTAAGCAGAAACGCTCCCTTTCTCAAGTGGTCACTCAGCCTCTGCTCAGATGTCTCCACTAATGAGAAACTCACTGTAACTCATGAAGAACTCTCGTAGAGGTTGGGCTGCACGGCCTTGGAGATCCCTTCCAACTCTCAGATTCTGTGATTCCATGATGATTCCTGAAGGATCTCTTTTGGACAGCTCTAAAGGTGGATAAGGGGTGTGTGTAGGTGTTTAAAATGTTAAATCTGAACCCGCTTTCTGCTAGTTCTGTCCTCAGGGCTGGGCAATCAGTCAATAAGCATTTATTCAGCACCTGCTGTATGCTAGGCAATGGGCTAAGTGATCCCTCTTGAATGAATGAGAGAATTTATTAAGCACTTACTGCATCAAGCACTGGGCATACAGTTAGAAAAAAGGAGACAGTCCCTGCTCTCAGGGAGCTCACATTCTAATTGAGGAGGACAACGTACAGAGAAGAGTTTAGCTGCAAGGAAGATGAAGGTCCCAGAAGTCCTAAGGACACGGCTATAGTGAGGAAGGCAAGACCCAGAGGTCTACAGGGTGCATCTGCAGGCAGGATGACAGTGGCTGGGTGTGTGTGTGTGTGTGTGTGTGTGTGTGTGTGTGTGTGTGTGTATGTGCCACAGAGCAAACACCAAGGCCTAGAGGACCGTAAGTTGTATTGCTACGTCAAACGAGAAGATGTGGTGAATGACTCCTGGGTTATCCAAGTGCTATGAATAGCCACATTTGCTGCTCAGGCTAGGAAGCCAGAAGGGGAAAAGCCTATCATCACTGGGAAGCAGAAAGTGGACTTGAGGTGAATTTCAGTGTCCAGCCACAAGTGGGGGAGAGGGAAAGGTCACTGGCAGGAAGGCTGGGGGGAAAGGGCCCCCATATGGTCCCTGGCTTGGGGTCTGGGAGGCCTGAGTTGGAGGAGGTCACCTCCACTGTCACTTTCCCCCACCCAGCACTCAGAAAGGGTCATCTACCCAAGCGACCTTTGAATACTCAAAGGAGGCTAACATGTCCCTGCCCTTCCCATCTTTCTTTTTCAGACTAAACATTCCCAATTCATGAGATCACAGAATTTCTGGCTGGCAGTAGAGCTAGCCTGACTGCCCAACTGTATTCCCCCAAAGTCACCCGAAGCTATTTAAGAATAGCAGTAAGGGTCAGAATCCTTGAATGCTTCCTCATAACATGGATTCCACAACCTGTTCCGGACAAGCTTTCTTCTTGTGTTCTCAGTTGTGTTCGACTCTTCATGACCCCATTTGGGGTTGTCTTGGCAAAGACACTGGCGTGCTTTGCCATTTTCTTCTCCAACTCATTTTACAGATGAGGAAACTGAGGCAAACAGGTTGAATTGACTTGCCCAGGGTCACACAGCTAGTAAGTGTCTGAGGCTGGATTTGAACTCAGGAAGATGAGTCTTCCTGATTCCAAGCCCAGTAGACAAGTTAGAGATGGTCAATATTCTTCCTAAAGGGTAGGGATCAGAATTAAACACAATACTCTGCAAGGGGGCCTGGCAGGGAAAGAGCACAATGGGGCTATGGCCTTCCTGATCCTTCTCTTTAAGTAGCCTAGGGTCTCCTTAGCTTTTTTGCTGACCATCTCACACCACTTATTTATACAGGCCTTGTAGGCTATGAAAAACTCCAGACATTTTTTTTTCAGATAAACTACTGCTTAACTACGTCTCACCTACTTGGTACTTGTGACATTGACTTTCTGAACCCATGTGTGAGACTTGACATTTATTGCTATTCAGTTCCGCCTTATTCTATTTGGTCCTATGCTCTACTCTTAAGCTATTTTTCTGATCCTGCCTCCATCATTCTGTGGGTTAGCTCTCACCCTCCCAGTGCTGGGTCATCTCTGCCTCCCTTTTGTTGTAGCCAGTCTGTTCACTCCGGTCCCTGTTCACCCCACTCCTTGTTCTCAATCCTGTTGGCCACCATGGTACAGAAAGGTGCTGGAAGGACACAGAGCAGCCAGACGTAGGTTCAATACTGACCGG